CAGAACAAACTAATTCATTGGTAAGACTCTTTTGGGCAGATTTATAATTCTAGATTTCATTACAATATAATGCAGGCCATATGCAATGCTGCCATTTTTTTACATGCTTGACATCTAGCATCAGACTGTTACGTATTACTGTGCCATACAAAATCAAAAACTTTCAATAAGCATTACATTTAAATATATAAACACATTTTTTAGATTCAGAATACTATTCGTTTCATGTTTTCTCCTTTAGGGAAAAAAATCAAGAGGTGATTCCTTACATTATAGGCCTGTGGAAAAGGAAAACGTACAGCCCTACCTGTACAAGTAAAACTGATGCCAATGATATCTTAAAAATAATTTTATTTTACTGTCATTAGCGCCAATAACCTTTACTCACTGAACCTGTCTTAGGGAAATGGCCAACCTATTCGCAGTACCTTTTTCCAGTTAACAAATCTGTCTCCACATAGGGAAAACTTTTGGTGCTACTCACTGCTGAAGGCGGCAATGCTATCTCAACAAGAGTGACAATCACTTCTTTAATCAGCTTTCTTCACCTGATGTGATTTTACCTTCCGGCAGATGCACAAAGCACAGATATCATGTTTGTACCATTTGACAAGATTATTATTATTTATTTTTTTTAACTTTTTGTAAAAGTTTTCACTAGTAGTAGCTGCTGCTTCACTATCTCCTGTTCAGTACAGAAGGTGAAATGCTACCTCTAGGTAAGCTAAGAGGTGCTATTTGTGAGATTCAACAAACTCGTTTTCATTAAATTTAGAAGCAGGTGCACCCCTGTGGAAAAACAGAAAGCTCAGTAAAACATTGCCCTTGTGAAAGTTCTTCAAGTTTTCTGTTCTTTGGGTTTGAAGTGCAAAAGTGAGCACAGAATACTAGCAACAAGGTATCACAGAGAACACTGAAGTATAAACTCCAGTCCTTGGGATTTCAGTATGAGATTTGAAGGGGTCACTTAAGATTTCATCTCAAACGTGACAGTAACATCATGAATTTTAAGAGCATAGTAGTTCTCTTAATAGCATGTGCAGAAGACAAGGGAACAACCCCTCTGATGGAATCTGATGTTCAGAACGTGCAATAAAATCCCTCTACTGAAATCTACTCATGGCCTCATGGATTCTTGCACATCTCAAAAAAATAAGTACTCAAAGGTGTTGAGATTTCCTCCCTCCATGACTGCCTCTATTGCCTCCAGGCAAAATAACCCACGTGCACACACGTAGAAGTACATGCACACATTACCTTAGTCCTAGGCAAAGCTACAGACAGACAAATGTCTAAGTGTTAAGAAGCACTGCATTCAGGTCAATGCTTTTAAACTATTCACAAGGTCTGCAGAAGAAAAGAGAAGAAGCGAAAACAAGGCAACCTGCGACTGGATTCAAACCTCTTTACATCACATTTCTTTCTTAACACCAAAGATTGAGCCTGCCCACAAATCCTGATAGAAACACTTCTGGCTAGCACTAGCAGCAGAAGGATTTCTGCGTATTTTTCGCTCAGGTAACCAGGCTCTGGTAATTTAAGGCAGGCTTTTAAAAATCACTGAAGCTAATATCTAGATGGTGATCTTCTGTAGGAAAATTGCACACTAGCAACTAAACTCCCTCTTCCCAATGTCAGAGCCATTTTTATGCCCAAATGAAATCCTACTGAAAGGCAGAAACCCCACATATTTTCTTCTTTTCTTAATAAAAAGTAAAGAGGCTTAAGCAACCTGTAGGCCACCACACTAAGAGCCTTACATGAGAAAGAAAATGTTTCATGTTTATAACAAGTCTCTTTCGTCAGTTATGAGATTTTTGTAAGATAGTTATCTGCACAGCAAAACAAAGTAATCAAGACTTTCTGAATGAAAATGTCACTACATAATGCAGTTACATTAAGATTTCAGTAGTCTGTATTAAGGTTTGACTTCATCTTACATTTCAAAACATCAGTAGGAGCACCTGAAAGTTTTATCATGGTCTGTACTGCACATGATATTTCTTACACTTCTATGGGTTCTCTAACTCAGACATATAGAATCATAGAACTGCTCAGGTTGGAAAAGACTTTAATGATCATCAAGTCCAACCACAACCAAACCATACTACTCTAACAATCCTCTGCTAAATCATGTGCCTGAACACCAAATCCAAGTGGTTTTTAAACACATCCAGGGATGGTGACTCAACCACCTCCATCTGGCTTTATGCAGCAGAGTATGCTATCATCTTAAGATCTGCCATCCCTATCTGTACTAGCAGTCACACACCAAGTAAGCCACCCTGATTAACAGTGTAACTCACTGAGCCAGTTACTGCTAATATACCTTATATAAATGGAAGCTTCCAATGCAAGGCAAGGAAAAAAAAAAAAAAAAAAGGCATGTTATGACCTCACCAGATGCTCTCCTTTCTGTTTAGGGGAATCTCAGCTTATTTCTCTTTAGCAGATCATTCCTCACTTCTCTCTAAGCCTGTCCCAGAGAGCTCTTCTATGTGCACAGGGCAGCTCCTGCACCATCACTCAACACTGGCAAGAAAAACACAGCGCTTCCCGGCTGTTTTAAGGAGAACAGCTCAAAGGGAAGTAAATAGGAGGGACAGAGACGCTTACTGCGGTTTTGGTCGGTACACAATTCTCCCTCCACCCTCTCGTGCCGGAACGTTAGGAGGAAGGAACCTCGTGTCCTGGTGCCAGGCCTCGGGCAGCCCAGGGGCCCCTCCCATTTCCCTCACCAGGATCTCTCCGTCCTCCGTAATGTTGGAGGGGCAGCTGAACGCGCTGCGAGCCCCCTTCCCGGAGAAGGACGGAGCTGCTGCCCAGCCCTAGCCCCTCGCTCTGCCCGCCGCTCGCTCCCTCCCTCGGCGTCCCGCCCCATACCTGGTAGTGTCTCTGGTAGCCCCCGGGCGAGCGCTTGTGCTGCTGCGGGTGCGGGGCAGCTCCGGCCGGGGACCTGCCGCCGCCGCGGGGAGCCGGGTAGCGGGGGCTGGCGCTCTGCGGCCTGCGCGGGGTCTGCCCGCCCGGCGAAGGGCTCCCGAACCGCCCGCCGCCGCCGCCGCCGCCAAAGCCGGGGCCTCGGGGTGAGAGCCCGCTACCGTAAGGCCCGGGCCGGGGGCCGTAGGGCGGCGTGTGATGCGGGCTGCCGTAGCCCCGGGGCGAGGGGGGTATGGGGCAGGCGCCGCCGGAGGGAGGGCTCCGGAACCCGGCGCCCGCATACGGAGGCGTCGGGGATCGGAAGCTCTGCCGGTACATGGCCCGGCAGCGGTGGAGAGAGAGAGAAATAAAACCTGCGTAACGCCCTACGGACACGAGCGCGGCCTCGGCGGCGCCTGCCGGTCCCTCGCGGTTCCCCCGCCCCGCAGCACAGCGTCAGCGTTCCGGGCTTACAAGGTTCCGGGCCGGGAAGGCGAAGCGAGGAACGCACGTAAAGACGCGTTAGAAGATCGGAAAGTCTTTTAAACGTCGCTCGGAGCTGCCGGTAGCGCTAGGGTAGCTCAGACAGCGAGAACTATGGAACTGCGAGAATGCGAATGGAAATGCTCACTAATCCAACATGGAAATGCAGACATTGTACTCACTGATCTTTGCTAATCCTCTGCTGTTTTATCTTCTCTAAAAGACCAATTTTCTACCTTTTGTGGTATACAGAAGGAATGCCATGTCTACACGAGGCAAATTGATCAACGTAATATCAATTTCTCACTCTGGCTGGTGTCTTCATTATTTTCACACACGAATAGCCACTGTTACACAGATACTGAGTCACACCGGGATAGCTTTACTGATGAATTTCTTCTTGTTGACAAATCCTAACTGCTTCTAGGATTGCAAGCAGCCACATGCTACATTTCATTACACGCAAGTCCAGTTAACAAATCTGCTGCACAGCTGGTTGTCCCTGTGTTGTTCTTCAGCATGCAGGATCTTGGTGAAGAAGCACTTCTAAGACCATGGTACTTGCAGTGCTCTCTTTCAAGCAGTCAGAAGTGTCCTCACAGTTCTTTTTCCATGTAAATGCTGAATCTCTGTGCAGGATTTATTTTATTTTATTTTATTTTCAATGCTGCTACAGAGCAGGAAGGCACCATGGTTTTCATATAACAAGCCTTCCTCTTGGTCCCAAGCTAAAAATATTCTGAAAGTAGTCAGCTCAGGGCAGAGTTGCTTACAGTTTCAGCAAAGCGAACCCTTCCAGTTAACTCAGCCATAGACAGCTAACGCTCAGCTTATGATGCAACTGACATTGCACCTTCAGCACAGGGAAAATGAGCTGTAGGACCTTCCTCCTGCTAGTCAGAGTGTTGGCATACAGTAAAACTGCCTAGCTTGTGAGTATAGTGCATTCTTGTGGGGATATTTTAGTTTTGTTTAACCTCAGCAGCACCATATGCACCCACTTACCAGAAACATGCACCCATAAACCAGAAACAAGTGCCTAGGAGCCAGGTGTCACAGCTGAAACAAAAAGTCATTCTGTATAAATCCTGGGTTTTGTGTTCCAACTAAGCCACAACTAGAATTACCACTGCAGTACATTCCCCTATTTATACAGGCCAACCACATGTGCATAGCATGGAAGATAAAACTGAAGCTCGTTGCCACTTTCTGACCCCTTTTATCAGGGCCGGGACTCCCAGCAGGGCACCTGCCTGTACTGCCTGATGCCAAAGCAAGGAACTCCGCTGTGGTAGGCACCCTGTCAAGAAGAAAGCATTCAACAGAGCCATAGAGCACTAAGTTCACACAGCCCCTCCACTCCTTCAAGAAGATGGCCAAGAAAGCAGAGCTGCTCATTCTCTGAAGGCAACACACAACCGCCACACCAGACCCCATTATTCACACCTATTGCAACAGCCTCACGCCCCTCAAAAGCACGGCAGAGGCCCCCCGCCCTCCCGCGCATGCGCACCGCCCCCAAGCCGGGATCAATTTAACACCTCCCTCCCGAGGGCGGGAAGCTGTTGGGGCGCGCGCACGCGCAGCGCAGCGCGCTCGTTCTTGCGGCGTTCGCTGTGGCGCTCTGCGGCTGACGTTCGAGTGCCGATTCGAGCCGTGCCGCTCGTGAGGATGCTGGGCACCGAGCTGGCATGGAGGAGCTGTGGCCGCGGGCTGTGGAGGTTTTTGCGTCGTGCTGCCGGCGGCAGCCCCCGTGCTCTGGGCGCCGCCTCGTCCTCAGCTCCTCCGGCAGGTAGCTGCGCCGCGCCCAGCCCAGCCTCTCTCCCACATCGCGTCTTCAGCCCACGGCCGGTGGCGGGTGCGAGCGCTTCGCGGAGCGCGGCCGGTGCTGGGCTTTGCTCGGCGGCCCTGCTGTGCCGCTACTGGGCGCCGCGGTGCGGGACTGCCACGGTTCGCATCGGAGAGAGCAGCGGGGCACATCTGGGCGCTAATAGCCTTTTTTTTTTTTTTTAAATTAATTATCATTATTATTTTTTCTTCCTCTAAGGCTTCCAAATCGTACCGTCAAACAGTTCCCTTCGTTTGTAAAAGAAAAAAGCTGCGTCAGAGTCAGTTTCCATTGGCTTTCACGCTTCTCTGTTATTAAATAACGACACTGATAGCTGCATTAATTGCATAGCAGATGGAGGGAGCATGGAGCTGTGACCCCACAACAAGTGCACCCTTGGTGTGACAGCAAACTCTGGTTGGGGTGTGTTTGGTTGTGAAAGCGTCTGTGCAGCCAATGCTGGGACCTGGCATCTGAGGAGTGATGCTCCTCTGGAGTTGGAAGTGATTGGATTACAATTAATTTCAGATGGATTTGCATTCTTATAGAAGTATTCAGTGTGCTGAGCTAATCTTTTCTTATTTCCCCCTCATATTGCTTAGAGAGGAAAATTTGGTAATCTGACGTGAAGATAACTTGATCTGCTCTGCCACAGAGTGATCTTTCTGGCTGCTTACTCGTACCCTTACAATAAGCTTGCCTGTGGCTACCCCTGCTTTTATTCTGGGGACAGCCTGGTGGGTTGAACTAATGCATCTGAGCTGAGGGTGAATGAATCTGTTTACCCTCTAGCGAAGGGATCTTAAAAAGGAGTGTGGCTGTCCTGCTTGGGCTCAGTTCAGATGTGCTGGGAATAGTTTGTGTACAAGCAGAATGAAGGTAGAGTTGGGAGAATGGGTTTGATTTCAGTCACAGTTACTAGAATAATTCAAAGGGAAAAACAGTAGAGAGAATGGAAAATATAGAGGAATCTGGTCCCTCTCTGTTAACCATTTCTCCTAAACTGACAGTAAGGTCACAGTGAAGCAAATGCGCACTGTTCTGTAATAGATAGTAAGTGTATGTTGATGTGTTCACATGTGTAGCCAACTGGATAAATGTGCAGCTGTGTGGAGGATTTGTGATGCTTACCTGGCACTGGCACAGGTATTTTCCAGCACCTGGAGCTCTCACTGAGTTATGCAGTGTTGAAGAGAGTTGGCAGTATGAATTTTCCTCCAGGGTTTGAAGTGTGCAATATACATGGCTGCTCCTAGACCCGCCCATTTTCATCCATATCCTGCCTAGTCTGCACATTGCATCAAAAAACCAAACTGTGAAGCTCAAATCCCTCTGGAATGATGGCTGTTTCTCAGGGTTGGTCAGGTTGGAAGGTGTGGGGAGGGAAAGGAAGAAGGGGTGTTGATTTGCTAGCAGTTACCTTGCATGCTTAGTTATTGAAAATTGAAAGGCAGAACAAGTGTTGCCTTGGTTCACACACTGTGCCTTCAGTTCTATGACTTGCTTTTGAAATTCAGTGTCTTCTTTTGTGTGGTGCGAGTGCATGGGTCTGCTGCACAGGCCAGACCACTTTGCTGCTGTGGGTTCTGTACTTCAAGTTGATCTGTTATCTGTTAATTTTAGTTTGCTGTTGTGATGTTTGCTGTGCTTTTGCTGGATCTTTCATCACATTAGTCTATGAAAGCTATGTGTGTGTTAGTGGTAGGCATGTATAAAATACCTTCAAGTATTTTCACTGTAGAATTCTGAGGTGTTTGGAATAGGTTCTGCTGTGTTGACTGTAAGATTTCTGGATTTTGAAGGGCTTCATTGAACGGTTTATCCTATATTTGGAGGGAGGATGATGAGAGTTAAAATGACATATTTCTGATATCTTGCAAAATATCTTGCAAAAAAAAAAAAAAAAAAAAAAAAAAAAAAAAAAAGTAAATTACTGTTTTTTGTTTTTTGTCAGGTACCAGTAATGTAAAGCCACTGGATGGTGTGAAAATTCTTGATTTAACAAGGTTTGTGTTTTGTTTATGATTTGGAACACTGTCTAGATGCAAATACTGTAGGGAAAAAATCTAAGAAAATCTTTCTAAATTTTACAGAGTGCTTGCAGGGCCCTTTGCCACAATGAATTTAGGAGATCTAGGGGCTGAAGTTATTAAAGTGGAAAGACCAGGTAAGGTTCTCCTTTGTTTTCTATGTAGTAAGAACGTGGGCTAATTTAGCAAATGATTGTGTATGTATTGTTTCTGTATTTGGAACTGTCTTCTTTTACGCTCTTCCTCACATGTTAACAACAGTTTACTTTCTGATAACGTTGTGGGATGTTTACTATGGATTGGGAGCGTACAATTGTCTAAATATTTTCAGAGGTGACCAATAGTAAGTTTATTTGGTGAATGTATGTTTTTGGTGGTGGTGTGTGTATGGTATTGGGCTATGAGATGCTAAATTTTGTAGCAGCTTGTATTTTTGTGAAGCTATAGCTATCAAATTTCTGGAATCTGTTGACATAATTGCTCTATTTCTGGCATGGAAGTTTATTAATAAGTTTGCTTGCATGTCTGTGGTCTGTTTGCTTGAAGTTTAACACTGTACTCCAATGTGTGTGTTTTGTTCAGGAACAAATATACATTTAGGAAAGGTAAGATTGAAGCTGTGATGGTGGGTCATTTGTTTCTCCAGATACTGATGTACAAAACAGCACTGGGTCATCACTACTAACATGCCTTATTCTGTCGCTGAATTTGATTTCTTTTGAGTGTTTTGGACTTTGCTCAGGTTTCAAAGTGTCATGGGAATGCTTAGGTTTTTGGAGACTCTTGTGGTGAGAGGATAAAAGCAGTTGTAACTGTAGTATAGCCTCCAAAATTTGACAAACTACAGAATTACAAGTTTCCAGGGTTTTTCCTTAAGGTACCATGTTGGTTGGGTGTGGGTTTTTTTTTTTTTTTTTTTTTTTGGTTTGTTGGTGATTTCATTATATTTGGAGGTTTCAATTAAAATTTCTGCTTTGTTCTTCCCAGCAAGATAAAGAGAAATGATATAGCAGTTTATACTTTAAAACAAACAAAAAAACACCCAATAAACCAATACAAATTTAAGAATCATGGGGGTGGGAAGCCAAATCAGCATAGCTTTATGTCATGCTGGTTGGGATTATTTCATGCCCACAGTTATTTAGTAGCTATTAAAATGCTACCAGAAACAATGTAACTGCTGATACTCAGTGACATTTCATCCTTGATATCAGGCATGTCCAGCCTGTGGCCTGGCACTGCTCATGGTGCAGCCCGGCCTGTGCCCCGCACCATCATGGCAGTGGCTCTTCCCTGCCATCTCTCAGCCAGCCCTGCCCCAGGTGTGCAACTGTAACTCAGCAATGACCAAACATCTGTGCACTATTAGCCCTGTCTGGGGTGAAATGAGGACAGTGCAGTGATAGCTCAAGTTATGGCAAACAATTTCACAACTTTTGATGTGTTGGCTGAACACAAATCCTGTGAATAGCGAGAAATATGCAGCTGTGCTTTCCATCCTGATAGAGGAATTGGAGAATAGGTTTCAAGGCTGAAAATTATCAATTTATTGTTATATTTGCAACTCCATTTTCAGCTAACATAAGTTATTTACATGCTTTTGAGTGAAATATGTAGAGTTGCAATCAAGCATTCAATTCAAAAATCTGATTGGCAGTCTTTAGCAGACCTGTATAAGCCCTCACCAAAGAGGAATACCCTTCACTTCACAGTTACCTTATTCATTTCATTGTCTTCTGGCAGTAGGTTCATTTCTGAGCAACTGTTTTTGAGGATGTAGTACAGGAACAGTAAATTTGATCAGAAATCTCTGATGAGCACTCTGAGAGCTCACTGAGAATGGCAGCCATCACCTTCAACCACGGTGATACATTAGAGTTGCAAAAACAAGGTCAAATATCCCACTGGTTTTATGGTTTTGCTGCTCTACTTTTTTATATTTTAACAAAAATTGTTAAAAATTAAGATATTTTGTTGCTTATATGCATTAACTATGTAATAAATATTTTGGAGGCTGCTCCAAAAGTAACGCCTACTGTTTTATTATGTTGGCCCACAATGTCAAAGGTGGATGTTGGTGGTATGGCAGTATGGCTGAAGCTTCCTGGCAATATTTTGTTTGCCTTGAAGTTAGCAAGTGCATAAACTTGAGATAATGATAGAGAAATATTTTGTATGCTTGCTGGCACTCAGGTTCATAATTACATCTTAATTAAATTCAGCTTCAAATTTACTGGTTGTGGCTGTACTTTCATTTTAAGTGGATTGCTAGTCTTCTTGACACGTAAGAAAGGTTTAAAATTGGAAATTAGGCATAAGAGATTCAGTTACATTGGTGTCTGCACCAGCTTTAATGCCATCTTGCTTTTCTGTAAGGCAACAGAATTTCTGAACAGAAGTCAGTAGCAAGTGCTTCTTTTTGGTGATATTCCTCAGCACACAGCTGAGTGAGCTGTGCTGATCAGTGGTCTCATGACTTCGTGTCCATAGTGTTTCAGGAATGGTTTTTTGACTGTGTGCTGACTGAGAGCATCTGCTAAATTATTTGATATTGCCTAAAAGAGTGCTGCTGTACCTCAAAGCTGTGCCTTAAGTTAGAAAGGAATTAAGTACTGAGGTGTGACTGTGTGTTGATGTGCATACTTTAAGATGCAAGTAATCACAGAAGGAACAAAGCAAGCTATATTAAGAAGCCATATTATAATGATTACAGCAGTAACAAAAGCAAAACTTGTTTTGCTTAGTCTCATTCACTCTTAGGTGTTTTCTGAAGTGAATGCCCTGAAACATGTATACTAAAGTGGTTGTTTTTCCCTTCACAGAATCACAGAATCACCCGGGTTGGAAGGGACCTCAAGGATCATGTAGTTCCAACCCCCCTGCCTAGCAGGGCCACCAAACATACACATTCATTTCCCTTGCCTGCTAGTTGAAGTTTAGGAGGCTTAAATATTACCTAGTATAATTAATTTTTTTTCTTTTCTTTGTTTATTGTCAGTGTAATGTTGAATAACTACAAAAACATGGTGATATTTCTTTCAGGAACTGGTGATGATACTAGAACCTGGGGCCCACCTTTTATTGGAACAGAAAGTGTTTATTTTCTCAGTGTCAATAGAAATAAAAAGGTAAGTGAAGTGCTTCACTGGAGATTAGTCTGTCAGTTGTGAAAACAGTTAAAGACATAGCACTTCTCTTCCAAATTGTTTACTTTTTCTTTTTCTAGAAAGAGTTTTGTACAGTACATGATTGTTGACAAAAAACTAAGTGAAAACAAACAACAAAACCTTAAGTGAATACGATTAGCAGTCAGAGAAAACTTCCAATCTTTAATTTTTTTCCATAATCAGACTTTATGAGAACTTAGTTTAAACTCATTTGATTCTTAGCGTACCTAATGGAGCAATAGTTACATTGGCTTTAATTACATTGTCAAGGTGAATACATTTCATGAGATAAATGAAGTATTTTGAACAAAAAAGGCTGCAAGTCTCTGGTATGGTCCTGAGATTAGCTGAAGCAAATTCCAAATGCAAGAGTGGTCCTGCCAGTCTTCAGTTTCTGGTACAGAATTAACCCTGTTGAATTGAAGGGTGATGGTTACTGTTAGTATTTTAAGGATCACTTCATTTTGTGCGGGTCAGCTGAGCTCACCTGCCCTGCTTTGCAGCTAGAGGTGTGGGAAAGCAGGCATCATATTGAAGTTAGGTTAGCAGAGAGAGCTTGTGTATCTTTGGTATTAAGATAAAGTTACACAATAAGCTTTTTAGAGGCTTGCTGCCACTGAAACAAATGTTTCTTGTGTTGTCCCCATATGTATTGCAGTAGTAAGTGCTGTACAAACATACAGTAAGCAGGCCACAGTGCAGCTCCCAGTTGCACACCCATCAGACTTTCTCTGTTGCTTGTCTGGTTCTTAAGAGTCTGTTAAACTTGCTTTACTAACAAAAACATATTTTTAAATATGGAAAACTGACTACTGATTGTGCTTAGAAGAGTTCGGTAATCATTAGAATGGCTTTCTCTTAAGTGATTTTTCTTTTTGTCCCCAGAGTATAGCTATCAATATGAAGAATTCAAGAGGAGCAAAGTTGATCAGGGAGGTAGGTCTTAATGGGATGTCAATTTTATATTTCCTGTGTAAGAAAGAATAAACTCTACATTTCAAGTATTAGAGGTGTGATAATTAAAAATAGTTATGTATGCCATTAACTGTTTAAATTATGGGTAAGACGTGGCATATATTATCTCTATGGTTTTGCATTGAGACACTGTTCAGAGTAATTTATAATGATTTTAGATATAATAAAATTTGCTCAAACATCAAAAACTTCAGATGAAATATTGTGAGGTAAAGGTCTAACAGTTCAGGGCTTAGCTGTGGGTGTGTTAGATCTCTCTGTACAACTTCATCACTCCAGCTAGAAACATTGTCTTTGAAGGGAGCAAGGAGTTTACAGTGGGAGAACTGGGCTCCAGTTTTTGCTTATTTTTGTGTTACAGTATATTCATGGCTTTGGTTGCTGTATCAGAAGTGTTGTCCTGTAGGTCAAATGCCATTTTTGTCTAGGATGAGGGTTTTGTCAGTATTTCAGTTGAGAACACAAGGATGAATTCAGGTAATGATTTTTCCAGTAACAAAGTTTGATTATTCTAGTAATCTTTAAGCTAATAAATGCACCGTATTTCACACTCTTTAAAACTTGTACTTTCTCATCCCTTTTTGTTTTTTGAGAGGTGTAGGGCCTGTTAACTAGTTCTGCAGGGCTAAAGACCATAAGAGTAGCAACATATCTAAAACTGTGAGCTGGCTTCTGTTCCTGTTTGCTTCATTGTCAGTTCTAGTCACTCTTCTTTTCACGGTGAGTCTGTGTTGTCCTGAAATAAGTGGAATTTGTCTGGTAGGATTTATTGCCAGGAATGTTATATGAAATGGAAAGAGATTAAGTTGTCTTATACTTCTGAAACTTTTTTTACTGTCAGCTCTATGCAATCTTTGGAGTTTATGAGCAAAATTTACGGATTCTCCAGTACCCTCTCCTTGTACTCTTTGAAGAACACAGCCATTCATTTCTGTTATGAAGCTGTATGTTTATCTTCTAAAGGTTTTGGAAACAGATACGGCCATTTGGGAAAATATAGATGTATTTTTTTGGATAGTCAATTCTAAGTAGGAATTCTGAAAAAAATTCATTCCAGATAACCAGGAAAAAAAGTCTCCTCACCTTATTTGACCTTTCAGGAAAGAAATGGTGAAGGAAAGTAAAAAGTCTATTGATTGGTCTATTGAAGCAAAAAGTCTATTGATTCTGTGAATGTGGGCTTAGGATAGCTGGGATTATGAGTGAGGATGAGCTGGAGGAAAGTTGGCTGTAGTGTTTGCCTCTTCTTTGTGTGACTGCTACAATTTCAGGTTAAGAAGCTCCCTTTTCCTTATCTTAATACTGGTACAGGAAGGTGGCTGCTTGATTTAGCTTTTAAATGTACAACTGATCTTTTCATGATCTGTGCCATTAAATGGCTGAGTACTTCAGAATTTGCAACGTTACAACCTTTGAACTTGAGGCTGGACTGCTTGAATTCAAGCCCCACACAGTTTTTGTATCAACATAGCAACTATCCTGCCTTTGTTTTACTTGGCTTAATGGTAGCTTTTGGAAGTGCTTGGTGCAGAGGTCTTTACAATTTTTTTTTTTTTTTTTTTTTTTATTGCCTCTCAAATGGAACTGTAATATAATCTCTTACTTTTGGTCTTTAAAATATAAGAACATTATCTATAGTAAAAAGACTTTGTTGTCAGTTGTCTTTTGGTAATATCAAGATGTAGGTATGTAGAATTCTGAATTTTGCACAGTGATATGTTTGCTATAACAAAAAGTATTGTTTGTGTTTGCAAAAAGAACTTTGAGCTTGGGACATCAGATACAAATAAATATGAACTGTATCCTGGGCCTACATCCAACAGAGAAAAGTGATGAAGTTGAATCATTTTTCTTTAATAAGAAAAGTAGCGTGATTAGAATAATTGAATTAGTAGTGTCAAGTATGCAGGAAAACCTGTTAATCAGCAATCCTGGATTGGCACAGTGTTGACAAGACACTTGTCCAAAGGTCTACTCTTTCATAATTATGTGAATATTTTACAGAGTGGTTACCATAAAATTGTTCTTTAGTCTGTATTCTCTTTCTATATTCTGCTTGTAGCCTTGTTTTCCTTCCTATTGCTTTTAACTCACTGTTAACTGCTATTCAAAAATGAGTGTCTCACTGAGTGGAACTTATTTTCTCTTCAGTGATGGGATATGCACTGATACTGTGCTCTGACATATATGCCTTGCATTTTTGAGTATTACTCAGCAGTATTCAGCAACTTGTTTTAAGAAACTTAGGGATACATTTGTCCTGAGTATTTAGTCTTAACTAAACTCTATGTTTATTCATGAAGGACTTGGGGAAATTCCATTGGATGGGGAGCTGATGGCACTCTTCCTTCCCTCCTGTTCAATGTGGTTGAGAGAGCCATCATGTCTCGTGCATACTCTCACTTAACTGTGTATATATGCACACATTCCTCTTTATGGAACACTCGTTTAAAAACAAAAATCCTTCTGAAGGGATGAATAGTTTGCTTTGTCAAGTTAGTATCTTCGTTACGTGTTGCTTATATTCAAATTAATGATTACTTTGGTGTTCACTATGCCTTTTTTTCTGATGTCCTGACATGTACACATTGTGCACATAAGTGTCCAATCTGGGACATACAGTATTCTGTGTTCTACACTACTTTGCTAGTACTTTGCTAGAAGCTTTGCTTCTCAAAGGGCTTGCAGGACATGTAGTTTAGTGTGAAACTTCACTTAACAGAGGATTTAAAACCCTGTTGAATTTTAAGACTGAAAGTCCCTGTGTGCTTTAAGGCTGTGTGATTCTGTGCAATTGGTTTGGATGGAGTCTGAATACAGTTGATGCTAATGGCAGAATGCTGGGCAGAATGCAATGAACACCAACAGAGATATACTGTTCACTGCTGGCTTACATTTAAAGCCTGTTCCCAGGTGTCATGAGAGCACTAGAGGCCATGCTGACACCGTATTTGTAAGATGCCTGGAATGTTATGCTCATCTCATTCTCTGAGAATATATATGCTACTAACCTTGGCCTAAATCACTGTATCTTCACTTTGCACTGTAGTCATGCACGTGTGTTGCCACATCTAGACTTTTGGCACTTATTTACTTATCAATTGTTACAGTAATGCAAGTCATCCTCTTTTCCCCACAGTGGTTTGCAGGTGTTGGTTCTTCAGTATGAGATGGACAGCAGCCTTCAAATTAGCCCACGCTGTTGCTCTGTATTGGATAGGTTATAAAACCCAGTGAAAGCAGTACAAAAGTTATAATTGATTTCTTAGATTAATTTAGCTAAGGTTGTAATATTACCAAATGTAGAAGTAATTATGTATAGACTAAAAAGGATCTAGAGAGCAAATAAAGCCCCTTAAATCTATTTTACATGAAGACATACTATTAATGATCAACAGCCTGCTCCCAGTGCGTTGTCCTTTCTTTGCTTTGGAGGTGCTGTGTGGCACAGAAGGTTGGGACAGTCACAGATCACTCTGAGCTTCTTCTGTTTTTACTGGCTAAAGCTTCAGCTCTGTAAAACCTTGATCTTCTTGAGAACCTTCCTGTGATGAATGCTGGCTTTTTAAGTAACTGCTATGAAGGGCTTGTCATTTTCACAGAGTCATGAATTATAAACAAAACAAACAACAACACAAAAAAAGCAGCAATGCTTAGAATTTGGGGATTTTCTCATATTATTGCAACTGTTAAAAACTGGCACTCCTAGAGTTCCTTGACACAGACTCTTAAAAAATAATTTACCACATGCACTTTTACTGTATGCTGAAGTTCATTTCTGTAAATGTTACTAGCATCTCATCTGTGCATCTAGTTAAGCCATTCATAATTTACATGGCTTCTTGTCTGAATAGGAGTCAGTTTTTGTCTTTCTTGTGAAATATTTGCTGGCTTGGCTGTTTCTTTGGCCTTGAATTCAACTCAGCAGACTACATGCTAGAACAAAAATGCTTATGATTGCAGATATGATGACACTAATTAATGGAAGCTGGCCCAGTGTGCTGTGGATATTGATCAGACAACTGCAGGGTAGTTCCAGAGAATTTGACTCTGATCATCTTGAAATAACATTAAGAAATGAAGAGTTTTAGGTCATGCTTGTAGATGTATGTGCAAATGTGTTCTTGTCAGGGAGTATTTAAATTCCTGGAAAAAGCAACTGAACTGAAAAAGAACCTCAACCTCCACAACTCTGCCAAATAGTATATATTTATTTTCAAATGTAGTTTCTCTTGTTTCAGAAGTTCTTAATTAATATTAATTCTACTGAAATATGTACAAATATTTACATGCTTAACTTCTCTAAGAATAAAAAGATGTAATTTAAAGCCCATCAGAGTCGTAGGTTAATCTATAATCTCAGTAGGTTTTGGACTAGATCGTTTATTCAGATGTGATGCAGAAAATCCTGCTGCAGAGCTTTATAATGCTGTTCTATAATTGAGGTGACCTTAAGATGTGTGTAGCTTCTGTTACAGTAAGTATTATCAGTTGCTTTGAAACTAAAGAGAATCAACTAGAAAACAACAACAAAAAACCAAGAATCACCACCACCATCCTTTCTGTCCCCCTCCCCCCACCTCCAGCATTTTACAGAATCCTAAGGGAAACATGAAGGATAAAGATGCATCCTTTCTCCTCACTTTCTTCAAGCTTGGTGTGAGTATAAAGTGGGTGACTGTTCTGTAAATTTTGATCAAATATTTGGAAATCAGTATGACTCTGTCAATACAATTACATTGCAGTTTTGTCTCACAGATTTAGAATTTTTATAGTTTCTTTTCTATATACACAGCATCTCTAACGTGTTGTTTGCAGACATGCACAGTCTAACAGACCAAAAAAATCTCTTCAGGTTTGAATTCTGTTCTGTCAGAAAGACAGGAACCATCTTGACTAGTGGTACTTCGAGCTACGTGAGAAATATATTGAACTTTTGGAAGCTTGTTAACAAATCTTATGCACTCTTTTCTTTTCTAAAGCTCGCAGCTGTATCTGATGTTTTTGTGGAGAACTACGTCCCTGGGAAACTGGCTGAAATTGGCCTAGGTTATGAAGACATTGAAAAGATTGCTCCTCACATAGTATACTGTTCAATAACAGGTATTGTGACTTCAGTAATTTCTGTTATTTCCTTTACTCCTCTTACGTTGTTATGAAAGTCATGTGATTATTTAACAGTTTGTTATTTTGATGTTGGTCAAGATAAGCTGAAAGAGAAAATAAGTTTGATATTAATTGAAAAACATGCACAGGAAGAATTGTGAAGCAGTAACAGTGTCAATACTTGGTAAGTTGTTCAGTAGTGACATTACCACACTGCTATGTTCAGATAGGCTTGAAAGGAGTCTACTCTGGCTTGATTCCTTGTGTTGCTTTGAACAGATTGATGACTTTTTTTTTTCTGAGCAGTTGTACTGTACCAACTTGTGTGTGACAAGTTTCCAACGTGGTAATTTCAGTGCTCTTTACTACCCCTGTCTTCAGATTTATCTAGCTGTATGTTCATGGAAGAGCTGTATGTCCATGGGTGTTCTCCATTACTTTGCTGCAGACTGCTTGATGGCTGAAATGTAAGATGAGTTTTAGGTTTTTTAGAAATGGAAGGAGGAATGAAAAGGAAGTAGGTATGTGAGCATTAGAACCTGCGTATATATGGAATAACTTGAACTCTGAAAAAGCACTTATTTGAAAACCTAACACAAAAAATCTACTGAAATTAAATGATTTGTTCATGAGAAGTCTATGGTTCAACTACAAATAAAATACAACAAAGAAAGTTACAAATATTAGAAGACCAATTTAAAATATTAGTCGCCAACCAGGCTGGACTTCTTCTTAATTTCTGAATAATATTATCTTTACTATTTTAATTCCTGGATGTTTGTCATTTGGGAACCAGACAGATTTTTAGTGTGTTGTGATGTGTTTATCATGCTTTTGTGGCAAGTGTCCTAAAAAGCCAGTGAGAGCAGACAGGCAGTTATGTTCAGTGCTTGCTGAGAAACTCCTGTTATGTCTTTCTTTATATATATGTTTAATTTGGTTTGTGGTGAGTTACCACAGTGTTCTTAATATTTGCTTATGCCTGTAATCTCATTTAGAATTTACTGAGGGTTTTTCCTTTTTTCTAGTGGCTAGAAGTTTTCTAGTGTAATTAATGAAAAAATAAATTGATACCCACGCTGCAATTTAGTTGTTGTTACAGTTTGGCCTTTGATTTAATAAATCTGTTTATCTACTCACTGCACATGTCAACTTTTGAGTACTTTTATTTTGCTGATAGGTTGTAGGTCACTCAAAATTTAATGTTCTCTGTGTATTTCCATGGAAACTACACCAGGTCCAAAGAGCACAATGACACTGATAGAGCAAATTCTCAGCTACAAAACACTATTTTTCAACATAGTCACCATCATTAGCTATGCATTTTCTCCTGTGATCAACAAGGCCCTATGTGCTGTGCTCCTGACAATCTTCACCAGTGGAGGTGACCTGCTGTTTCATAGCTGCAAATCAGAAGATGCCAAGTCTGAACTATACGGTGAATGTAGTAGGACAGTCCAGCTAAGTTTGGCAGTGTGTTTCACAGTCTTAAAACTGATATGGGGCCTGGTTTTATCATGTTGCAAGAAAAAGGTTGTCTTCTTCACTGACTCTGGAAGTTTGAGCCCTCAGCTTAGTCAGCATCATGATGTAACAGAGTCGATGCTTGTTTGGAAGAATCCATTTCCTATCCCAAAGGGCAGAGCACGTCACTTCACCTGTCGACAGCACTGTCTTGAACTTTTTCTTCAATGGAGAATTCCCATTTCACCACTCCATGGCCTGCTGTTTTTACTCTGACTATAGTGGTGACTCCTTGTCTCATCATCAGTAATGATGTGTCCAGGAAACTTCATCCCTATGTTGGTTGAATAGGTACCAACAAACTTGCATAGAATGTACTTTATAATCCTGTGTGAGCATTTGTGGGGCCAACATGGTGCAAGTTTGGTTTTGTTTTTTTTTTTTGGTGTTCTAATATTATTCACTTTCATTTCCAACACACTGAAGCTGATACTCAACTCTGTGCACAGTTCTCTGCTTAGTCTGCTGATTTGTGTGGATGAGCTGATTGAGCCATGAATCATTTTGTGGCATAAGAGCTGTGCATGGCTGTCCAGAATGTGACTTTCACATCACAGTTGCTACTGCTGAAATGCACCACCCACAGCCTCACTGTGCTCTCACATCCACTGTTTGGTCTCCATGAATGTTTAGAAATTGTCAATGGATGTCAATAGGTGCATTTTTTTTTCCTTTGTGGAGGAATTCAGTGATATACCTTTGCTTCAGACACACTTCCATGTCAGATACTGTTCTGTCAGCCTGCCTCTCTGCTGCCATCTGTCACACATCAACAACATTTAATGCAATGTTGTCAGGAAGGTTCAAATTCTATGACTAGTATATCACTAACGTTTACCTCTGATGTTATGGGCCAAGACAATAGAATAGGAGGCATTACTTTTAGAGCATCTCTCATCAGTTAAAAACCTTGACTTAACTATAGGGCTAAGGAAAGGTACTTAGCAGTTTCACAGAAGTGCAGAATTGCCTAAGTGGAAAGGACCTTTTGAGATATGCAGGCCAATTCTCCTGCTCAAACAAGATCAGCTGTACTGGGTTTCCCAGAACTATGTCCACCTGGTTTTTGAGTATTTCCGCAGATGGAAACCTCTGCACCCTCTCTGGACGACCTGTTCCAATCCTTGATGTACTCACAGCAAAGAGTATTGTCTCATGTTATGGGGGGGGGTCATGTGAATTTTTGTCCGTTGCCTCTTACCTTGTCAATGGGTGCTTCTAAGGAGGTCCAAGCCTCTCACTCATTCCCTTCCATCAAGTACTTACATTTGTTGGTTAGGATTGATTTCCCCCGGAGTTTTTTCTTTTTCCAAGCTGAAGTCTCAGTTCTTACCCTTCCTGTGGGTGAGATGTTCAGTCTTTTATCACCTTCACTGAATAGCTGAGGCTTGCAAGGACACTCTGGACCCATCTTCTCCAACCCATGTCCCAAAGCAGGGCCAGTCACAGCAGTTACCCAAGCATGCGTCCCAGTGGCTTCTGGAGATCTCCGGGAAGGAAACTCCACAGTCTCTCTGGCTAACCTGTAGCACTTCTCTACCACCTGCTCAACATGGAAGTTCTTCCTGGTATTCAGAGGAAACCTCCTGTTTGTGCCCATTTTCTTGTTCTGACACTGGCCACCACTGAAAAAAATCTGACTCCCATCATTGCACTTTCTCTTCAGGTATTTATGTGCATTTATGAGATTCCTTTGAGCCTCCTTCTCCAGGCTGAACACTCCCAGCTCTTTCAGCTTCTCTTTATAAGAGAGACACTCCAGTCCCTTGATCATCTTGGTGATTTTTTGATCTTTGTGGCCCTGTGCGTGACTTTCTCTAGTAAGCCCGTCTGTCTTGTAGTGGGGGGCCTGGAACTGGATGCAGTACTGTATGTGTGGCCTCACCAATACAGAGTAGATGAGGAGGATCACCTTTCTTGTCATACTGTTGATGCTCTTTGTAATGCAGTGCAAGATACTGTTGGCGTCCTTTGATACAAGGCTGCCTGCTTATTTAAGCTGATTCAAGTGTATGCTAAATGACATCTTCCCTCCTACAGACTTTCCTTCTAGTCTCAAAGGCCCAGGACTCCTGGGGCTGGCTTTATAGGTAAAGACAAAGCAAAGAAAGTATTAAATACCTCTGGGTTTTTTTTTTTTGTTTGTTTGTTTGTTTTTGTGTCACTTGTAACCATTTTCCTTTCCCCATTTAACAGTAAGCCCACGTTTTAACTACTTTTCCTTTTGCTGCTATATACTTGCAGAGTCCTTTTTTCCTGCCCTTCAATCCTTTGCTAGATTCTCCAGGTCAGCCCTGGCTTTCCTAATCCTGTTCCTGCAATACCACAATTTCAAAGAAGGAAATGATTTATTTCTAATCTCTGTAGCCTGATTCAAGACATTACAGCTCAAAATATTTTTGTGGCATGGTTTCTGCATTCAAATATCCATTGACTGACCTTTTCCATTTGGGAGCCCTGGGAAGAAAACCACTAGTTGATTAATATAGCTTGGTTTTTAAAAAATAAAAAATTAGTGAAAAGGAGATCAAATGTAAAATATTTCTGACAAAAATTGCATGGTGTAGCAGCTTAGATTTAAAGATGAATGCCTATGGAAAAAGATCAGGAGAATTTTTTCTTATTATGAACAAATTAGGTTAGACAGATAGCATAGGAGATGAGTAAGAGCACTAAAACGTTTTTATGGGAGTTAATCTGCATACGTTGCAATTTATTACTGGCACAGTCAGAGGAGTTTCCCTACTTGAGCCATTTTCTTTAAGGGACTAATTTGATAAGCTTTGTTAATCTGAATATCCTGCATATAAAGCTTTAGAACAACTTGGTAAATGAACATGTATAAATCACTTGTATCAGTGTATCTGGGCAAGGTGGAATTTTGGTCGGAGCCTGGGTTATTAATGTGCATAATCACTTTGCCAATGAAAACACACACTGAAGAGTAATTGACCACATCAGGATGTTCATGTGAACTTAGAAATTAACTCACTTTTCTCTTCTGAAGAAGACAAGACATAATCAGTAATTGTTTGTACCTCTCAGCCATGTTGCTTACTTTTTAAATGTGTTCAAATGCTTTTGCCCTTCTAGTTTCTTAAAAGGAGAAGTGTATAGAACTAGTAGGACTCTTGGCACAGAAATCTGTCTTGAAACAGGGTCTTGATTGTTTTAATGTTAGGCGTTACAGTATTTAACCAAAAAGCACCAACAGGTTCAGGTGAGTTAATTGAGGCATCTGAGTTGGATGCCTACTTTTGTGAGAGATTGGTGTGGAAAACATTTCAACATTGCATTCTGAAAGACCCTTGAGAAGTGCTCGCTGTCCCCACTGTAGGTAGGAGCTATGCTTGCGACAGCATTCGCGGCTAAGGGTAGGAAATGAAAATGAAGTGGAATGACCCTTTAACAAACTGATTTCTTGCAAGTTGCTGAAAACTTAAAAGTAATATTTCAGGTGGAAGGAGGCTGAG